TAAAAATATTAAAATTAAAATTAAACTTAGAACTCTTAGTTATTATAGCGTTTTAATTAATTATATTAAAAGTATTAGTTTATATTTTACGGGCTATTAAAGAAGTACTTTTAATATTTTTAAAGAATTCTTTTAATATAATATAACTCTTTTTAAAAACTATTCTTTTTTATAAAAAAGACGTTTTAATTTAAATAATAATTTATTTAACTCGGCCTAAGCTTTTTAATAAACCTTAGCTTTTTTTTATAACTCTATAGCTCTTTTTTAAAATTATAACTCCTTTACTTCTTTTTTATAATTAAAACGATTAATTTTAATACTAAGTAATTAATTATATTTAATTAACTTGACTTAGTAAATAAAAATTATAATATTTATAAATATAAATAGTATCGGTAAAAATATTATAAAAAATATTTAAATAATAATATATTTTATAAATATTAGAATTAAAAAGAACTAAATATTAAACGCTTTACGAGCGATAATTTAAGTAAAGTATAATTTTTATACCCTCGTTAAAAAAACGAATAATATATAATAGTTTATAACGAGACGTAGCTATTTAAATTTTGATTTTTTAATTTAATTTAATATTATATTAGTATATTTTTTAAATAAAAATACTTAACGACTCCCTAATTTAGAAATAGAGGACCTATTTATAGGCCTAGGGGATTAGATTTTTAAAAGGAGGAGCTAATATTATAACTTAATATATATAATAAAGCTAGGGCCTGCTCTATAGAACTTATAGTAGCTATTATACTATATATATAAAAGTAATAGATTTAGGACGACCCTTTTTAAAATAAAAAAACTATAAATAAGTTATATAACTACGATTATATAATAAAATAAAGAACGGATATTTATAAATAAATAGGATACATAATTATAAATAAATAAAATAGATGACCGTTTAATAAATAGTTAAATAATAGTAAATAAAAGATATTATAAAGGATATATTTAAAAACGAGACTTATATATAATATAAACTTAAGCTTAGTTTAAAAATAGACTTTTTATAGCTTTTTTAATAATTAATTTAATATTAAATTTTATAATTACTTTTAGTTATTTTTATTAAAAACCCCTTTTAATAAAATTATAATTAATTATTAAAGCTTTATTTATTTTATAATTTATAGATATAGCTTTAAAAAAGCTATTTACAATTATAATACTATTTATTTAGCCTTCGTAGCCTTAACTTTTATTAATATATTTACTATAACTAGCTAGCTATAATATTTATTTAGAGAACTTTTTAAAAAGGGTAGTTTTTTTTTATTAATAAAAAGATATAGTTTATAATATTATTATAAAATAGTTAATTAATATAATTATAAAAGTAAATAGAAGTATTATTATTATAAAAATATAGTAGCTCGAGATTAATTAAATAATTAATAATATTAGAGGGGTTTTTAATTAAATAGAATTAGAAGTTAATAAGTTAATAAAATAATATATAATAAACGATTAAAAAATATATAGATATTAAAATCTATAAATAGAGGTATTTACGGATTATAGCGAGTTTTTATATTTAAATTTAGTTAAAGGTACTTTTTAAACTTTTATTTTATATAAAATCGGTAGTAAGCGCGCCCATTTTTCTTTAAGTAATATAAACCTTAATAAGATTATTAATAATAACATTTCAAATACATAGCGAATAGCGAATAGCGGCTTAATAAAAATTAATAAAGGTATTTTAATATATTTAAGTAGTACTATAAAGCTTAGTAAAAATTTATAAATATAAAATTAATATAAAATATTTTAATTACCTATTATTAAATTTATTATAAAATCCTTCTTTTTTATAGTTATATAAATAATATAGATATTAATACAATTATTAATATAATAAACGAATTTAATAATATTATAATAAGTTTAAATAAAATAGTTTAAATAGAGAGCGCCTCTATTAAAGTTAATAAAGCCTTTTTTTAACGAGAACTTATAGTTAATAATTAATATTATTTAAAAAATAATATTTATAATAAATAAATAGTAAATAGTTAAATAAAAGAGTTTTTTTTTAAAAAAAAGAGAAAAGAGGTTAAAGTTAGAAATATATTAAATATTAATAATAAAGAGGGTAGCGTTATTTTTAATAATAATAACGAGGGTATCTCTAATATTATTATTATAAGCTATTATTATTTAAAGGGCTATAAACTTAGCTAAGTAAGCGGCTTATAAAGTAGTAGCGTTATGCTTAATATTACCGTTAATTAATCTGTAATTAAAAGAGAGAAAGTTAAAAAAGTAAAAAGAAATTTAAAAAAAATAGTTTATTAAGATAATAAAAGTATTTATTAATACTATTTATTAATACTATACAATAATATTAAAAATTGCCCGAGTAGCTAGTAAAAGTAAAATATTAAAATAAATATATATAAGTTAAAATTAAAAGTATTCTATAAAAAGCGGCGTTATTTTTAATAATAATAACGAGGGTATCTTTAATATTATTATTATAAACTATTATTATTTAAAAAGACTATAAACCTAGCTAAATAAATAGTTTATAAAAAAATAGCATTATATATTTAATATTATTATTAATTAATCTATAGTTAAAAACTTTATAATAAGAAAAGTTAAAAAAGTAAATTTTATTTTAAAAATAGCCTTTAAAAATAGTAGAAGTATTTATTGATATTATATATTAATATTACATAAGTAATTTTAAAAATTGCCTAAGTAATTAAAAAAAAATGAAACTTTAAGATAAATAATTATAAATAACTATAATTATAGCTTATAAACGCCGGGCTATTTTATATAAATATACTATAAATAAAAAAATAAATACGCTATATAGCCCGTAAATAGGTTTAGTAAAATAAAAAAATCTTAAAATTAAAGTGGTAGGTATTAATTTAAATAGAAAGATAGGTCACTACTTTAATAGCTAAATAGTACTACCCGGATAGTAAAACTCTAAATTCTTTTTAATAATTACTCGACTTTAAAATAAATAACAATTTATCAAAAACAGCATTAATATTTTAAAAAATAAAAACTTTTATTCTAAGTAGCTTTACTATATTATAAAGATATTTACCGTCTTCGTCTTATTCTTGTTTACTTTTGATTAACCGCTATAATAATATATTAGCTTTTTAAGGTGCGGCAAAGGGGACGCTTCCGCTTTTAGGTCAATGTGCCTCTGAGCGTGACTGCCAAGACAACCAAGGCAGCCAAGGCACCATAGTCACACCGGCCGATCACAAGGTCCTGTAATGTGAAGCACTACCCTTGCCTGCGGCTCTAGGTTCGAGGGCAATGGCGTACGCCTGACTATGACTGTGGCACATTCGATATGAAATTCAACGAGACGGAGACACCAACTAGACTTAGTTATCCCGCGTTGGCCCCATAACGTTGCGGATGAAGATTCATGTCCCGAACCTCCATTGGCAGCTTGAGTTCTTGGTAGTCGATATTCGGAACAATATCGAGCTGCCTATCAGGTGGGACCCAAGTCAGTGGATTATTTGTGGTTACCGCTATTACCCGCTCTAAACCTTGACGCGGTGGTGGCTCAACCCAGCCCCCCGGGCTGGGTATGCGACGATGCGTGCAGCTCAGCTCAATACTCGGTACCTTATTGTATCGGTACGGATATTGGTGGCCCAATCAGCCGATGATCTCTTGTTCCCCGCGTCTCTCCACCTTCTCCAATTCCACGGATAGGTTATTTTTACGAGAACTCCGTGACGACCTGCCATTGTATGGGCGGTTTCCCCTCATTCCTCCCACAACAGACTAGGTACAATACGTACGCCAAATCCCAGGCCTTGCTGCTGAAAACGGGTATACGTATCACTACATGGACTGGCGGTAGACTGGCGGTCAGGATGCAGCGTCTTGGAGGTGGAGAGATAAGGCCAGGCCTGGACCCTGGTTGGAGTTTGGATCCACTGGGCCCTGCACTATCCACAGCGCACTGTCCACGGTCTGGGCAACATCGTGTCAGGTGCCATGGAAGTGCCAGGCGCAAGTGCGCAACCTAGATGATCCTTGAGGTGCCAGAGAGAGAAATTTCAACATTGCAGATTAATGAGGTGATGTTTTGCTGGTGTCCCCGTCTCTATCTGTGCTTTCTCTTGATATCGATGAGATGTAGTGAAGTATGGGACGGGAGGCGGTGGGATGGATGACTCGTAAGCCCCCCGGCTAGCGTATCACGCAAATGTTGTTCCTCTTTCATCCTCTCATTGTTATGAACCTTTTCTCTTGCGAAGTGGGGAGTGATGAGCGACTTCCAAGAAAGTAACAGAGTAGGAACGAAATAGTAATTCTGGGGGTGAATACGGTTGACCCATAACTGCGTATGTTGCATCCAGGCATGCACCCTGCCTAGTGGTACCCCAGGTGTTTGACCTCAGCATCGCAATCATTCAAAGATTGACAGTGGCAGCCCACATCCTTGGGCCTGGCTTCAATCCGTTCTTGTTTGTATTCCCTTCATATCAGGGTAGACCAATGAAGCCGTTTCCCACGCCTGTAGGTTCCACCACAACTCTGCTTAGCTATCGCAGTCACGCAGTGAGGCACCTTCTCCTCCCACTTTCTCCCTGCCCACCTCCACAAACCGTTGCTTACTCGCACTCCCCGCACTCCCCGCCCTCCACATTCCCCCCCCCCCTCCCTCCAAAAACATCTTCACGTGTCGCAAACTAATTCCGCCGGGAAGGCAAGTGACCAAATCCCTTAACTTGCTCCAATACCACCACCTACTACTCTCTGTACAACCAACCTGAGTGGTCGACTATCAACACCTCCAATTCCTGTGGCAGCTGCGGCCAAGGAGAAAACAACATAGGCAAAACAACCTGCGCTCACCATGTCAGATTAGTACAGTACATGGAAAGCTTACCAATATCACGGGACTGAAAGCAATTGCCTTGGCCACAGTACCTAAGCCTGCTTTCCTCTCCACCCATTGCTAGTAGTCACAGTCTAGACGGTGTCCCTCTTCTTGGCAATTCCATATAAGAAGTGGCTCTCCCGTATCGTCTACGGTTTCGTCTTATCACGAAAGGTCAAATCGATTCGACTCGGAGAGCGCATTCGAGCGCTTCCAGAAGTCTTTGGTCGCCAAAGTATTCCTTACATCGGAGAGTAGCCCGTTCACTGGCAAAGACAGGAATACGAGCCAATTCGCCAACATGTCGTCCATCACATCAATGCTGTCGGCGACGGCTACATCGTCAGCCGCGCCCACCAGCACCGGCGGAAACAGAGCTCCCTCGCAGGGTGGTGTTATCGAGGGCGCAAACCCCTCGCATTACAATCCGAAGGATCCCATCACTATTTTCATCATCCAAGTTTGTTTTCCCTGGTTTCGCTTTCCACCTTCGGCGCCTGCCAATAAATGCTAATTCGTCTCACTCGCCCAATTTAGGCCGGACTCATCATCATAGTCTGCCACCTCCTCCACTGGCCTCTGTCCAAGATCCGGCAACCACGAGTGATAGCCGAAGTTATTGGCGGCATTGTTCTGGGCCCCTCGGTGCTGGGTCGAATTCCCGGCTTTCGCGCTGCAATTTTCCCTACGGAGTCGATCCCCAACTTGACGCTGGTAGCCAATCTCGGCCTTGTTCTCTATCTCTTCCTTATTGGTCTTGAGACAGACGTTCGCTTCCTCGTCAGCAATTGGCGAGTCGCTACTTCAGTAGCATTCGCCGGCTTAGCTCTACCCTTTGCGTTCGGTTGTGCCCTCGCATGGGGTCTCTACAACCAATTCTCTGGTGACGAGGGTGTCATGCACATTGACTTCCCAATCTACATGCTGTTCATCGGTGTTGCTATTGCAATCACGGTAAGTTGCCCTGGAGAAACGACCTATTCGGTCGTGATTCGATCGCCACCCAACTAACACATTGCCTCTAGGCTTTCCCAGTTCTGTGCCGTATCCTGACCGAATTGAAGCTCCTTGATACCTCTGTCGGTGTTATCGTGCTTTCAGCTGGTGTTGCGAACGACGTTGTTGGTGAGTAATGCTTCAATGCTCCTTCCAACGCCAGGCTGGGTTTCACTAATACGTCCAAGGCTGGATTCTCCTTGCCCTATGTGTTGCTCTCGCCAACGCCGGAACAGGTCTTTCAGCCCTTTGGATCCTTCTCGCGTGTGTCGGTTACATGTTATTCCTGTTCTACCTTGTGAGGCCAGCTTTGGTCTGGCTGTTACGTCGAACTGGCAACATTGAGAACGGACCTTCCCAGAGCATGATTGCGCTTATCCTTCTGATCGCCCTGGCCTCGGCTTTCTTCACTGGTATCATTGGCGTTCACGCAATTTTCGGAGGGTTCATGGTTGGCCTCATCTTGCCCCGCGAGAACGGCTTTGCTATCAAGGTCACTGAAAAGTTGGAAGATTTGATCGGTGCTCTGTTCTTGCCCTTGTATTTTACGCTCTCTGGGCTCAACACCAACCTGGGTCTCCTTGACAGCGGTATCGCCTGGGGATACGTTATCGCTGTTACGTTCACCGCCTTTTTGACCAAGGTTATTGGCGCCAGTCTCGCTGCTCGGTTGAACGGACTGGTCTGGAGAGAGTCTTTCTCCATCGGGGCTCTGATGAGTTGCAAAGGTCTCGTCGAGTTGATCGTCCTTGTAAGTAGCTCTTGTTTGAGCACAGCTCCATGATGATATGGCATGGGGGACGGATGCTGATTGAAACACAGAACATCGGTCTACAGGCTAGGATCCTAAGCACCAGGACATTCACCATTTTCGTTGTCATGGCTCTTCTGACCACCTTCGCAACTACTCCTCTAACCTCCTTCCTATACCCTCGCTGGTACCAGAAGAAGCTCGAGGCTTGGAAGCGTGGTGAGATTGACTGGGACACTGGTGAACCCATCTCGAGTCACGGCGGATCGACCGATGACCATGAATTCACCAAGCCAACCAATGATCGTGTCCAGCGCCTGTTGGTGTACCTTCGACTGGACAACATGCCTGCCTTACTCAACTTGGTCTCCCTGTTCGGGAAACAGTCCGGCTCAGGAGACCAATTTGTTGAAAGCGACGAGAAAGGCGGTATGAAGTCGGACACTGTGGCGCTGAGTTCTTCCAACGGTATTAGAGCTGTGCGGGCTCATGGCTTCCGCCTACTCCATCTTACAGATCGTGACTCTTCCGTCATGACTGTGTCTCAGGTCGACGATTTTAGTCGCAATGACCCTGTCGTGAACATCTTCCGTACCGTGGGACAACTGATCAGGGTTGCCGTTTCCGGGGAGGTGTCGATCATGCCAGAAACTCGCTTTGCTGAAGCTCTCCTATCCAAATCTTCGGATATTTCCTCTGACCTTCTTCTCGTCCCCTGGAGCGAGAGTGGTAGCTTAGTCGACACACAGGTCCTGTCGGCAGACGGTTCCAACAAGCTGGGATCAACATACACCGGTTTCGCCAAGTCAATCCTCGACTCCCCGGAACACAACATTGGCATTTTCTTCCCCAAGGGCAGTGCTACTCAACCTACCTCGGACGGTAGTAGCGACCGCAAAAGGCTATCCCGAGCATACTCATTCAGCGACATCCATCATGACATCCCGACGATTCCTGTCACAAACAAATCTCACCAGATCTTCATGCCATACTTTGGCGGCAAGGATGACAAGCTCGCCCTCAAGCTGGTGCTTCAATTGTGCGAGAAGCACAACGCTCAAGCGACCGTGGTACATTTCACCGGGACAGCTGAGGGAGATTCTCAATCTCATGAGGGTGACTACTTCGGATTCGTGTCAACGCACGTACCTGCCAATGTGGCGCCGCGCATTAAGTTTGAGACTTCTTCTTCTTCGAATGCTCTGGAGGCTGCTTCGAGCTATGCCGCGTCGGGCGTCAGGACAGATACACGAGAAGTCACCTGGCACAACCTGGTTGTTCTTGGTCGCAGGAGTGCTGTGAAAGCGATTGAAGGTAAGGCGTCTGCCAGGGTGTCTGAAGATATCAAGGACTGCCTGGGTATTGCTGCGGGTGTTTTGATTACAGCTGGTGTGAAGGCGGATCTGCTTGTTGTTCAAGCCAAATCTTCAAGTAACTAGTCGAAGCTTAGTACTCTAGTTGTTGATTTAATACCATCTATTTCCTCTATACGATCCAAATCCACGTCAATCCTGCCTGCATAGTAGTAAGCATGAATAAACTCGCTCAGCACTTGACACTTGCTGCGTTGCGGTGTTCGCTATCAGGTTTGTGTGAGGGTTGCGTTTAGGTGGTATAAACACCCAACGCCATACTGGAACCCAACCAACTCCCATCGCTTCCATCTTTCTTCCTTTTAAAACTCGGCGGGAGTGCCGAAGCTGTTACCTGACATCGCAGTGACATCTTTTTAGGGGAACATCTTTTATCACATGTTCAATACCCAGACGATCACAGGCTCGAATGTCAGGACGAATCCGGAGAGATGCGTTCTTGTTGGTATACATGAAGGGACGACACATTCATGTCGAGGGAGACTTGCAACGGGGTGGCGAGCTTCTCTCATCATCCGTGGCATAACTCGAATCAGGGAAACCCTCCCATAATCAAATCTTAGGTCTTCAGCCCAAAAGTTATGAAGGGTATTTTTATTTCCGTCATTTGATTCATTGAGACTCGTTACTCGTCTACCGTTAACATGCTGCCATGCCGCTTCTAAACTCAAAAAGATTCAGGCCGTCTTGATGGCACTTTATCTGATAACGCCACCCCCTAAAAACCAGTGAAGAGCCATGGAAAAGAAAAAAGGTAGAGGAGAGACTTGGTATGTTCGGGAAGAGATGGGTTGGGAACTTGTAGAAAAGAGGATATGCATCGCGAAACCCAGCCACAGAGGCGCGTCTCAAATAAGATGGCGAACACAACGACGATTCGACATGATCAGTGTCGTCTTCTCCCACCGCTGCTCTGACCACCCCCGCTACCAGTGCCATGGCCGCCCCAACTGCCACTGCGGCGGGTGGCCGTGTTCACGGTAGGTTGGACGACAAAGTTGCGAATACCCATCTCACATGCCTGACGCAAAGCTTGATGGCGCATGCCACCCTTCATGCCTGTGGCCTTGTGACCGACAAATGTGTCGACGAGGGCGGCGCCCAGAGCAGCCGTGGCCACCCGCGTACCTTTCTCGCCTATCCACGGGCCGGGCTCACTCTTCATCTGGAGAGCTGCCTGACTTCCAACTCTAAAGGCTGTCTGGGCGGCTTCACCCAGCGCAGCGTAACCAACAGCTGACTTGGCTCGAGGCCGAGCTGTACCAGAGGCACCACCTGCTGCACCTTTTCTGGGCATGGACCGTCCTCTGGCAGAGCGTTGCTGACCGCCGCCTGGTTGGCCATACCGCTCGGGCGAGTCATTCATGTAGCGACCGTGGCCACCCTGGCCGTGGCCGGCATATCCTCTCGGATTTGAACGGGGATCAGCCTCGTAATCTACGTGACGACCGCGATTTGATTCGCTACCGCCGCGGGGGACACCCTCGTAGTCAGCGTAGCGCGAACGCCGTCTGTCACTCTCGCGTGGCCCATCATTCTTGGAGCGGCGCGATTCGTTATTATAGGGATCGACATCGTCGTAGTCGGCATAACGGGAGCGTCTTTCGGGATAACGAGGCTCGGCGTCAAAGTCAGCATACTTGGAACGCCTCGTGTCGCTTGTCCGGGGCGGGTGATAGGCATGCTGACGCTCCCGGCCGCGGCGAGAGGCAGGGGCATATGCGTCGAAGGCGTCGTCGTCGGCGCGGTAGTGAGTGGTGGCGGGGGGTTCCCGGGCGGAGCGGCCGTGGCTCCGCGCCCGTGGTTGGTAGGCGTCTTCGTCGAAGTATCGGTTCTTGCGACTCTTGCGGTCTTCCCTCTGTTCTGGTTGGGGAGCGTAGGATTCCGGGACGGCGTCCCTGCGTGATTTGCGGCTCTCACGGTGTTCCCGTGGCTGTTCTCTAGGCTCTGGATCGCGTTGATAGTTGTCATAGGCAGCCGGAGGTGCGGCAGGTTCTGACTTATTGCGGCGACGAGGACCAGGACTTCGTCCACGAGATGGATATTGAGCGTAGGGGTCTGCAGCAGTGTCGTAAGAGCGACCGTAAGACTCGTAAGGGTCCAGGTCGTAGTCAGGGCCTCTGCGATGAGAGCGTCCCATTATTGTTCGAGATCTTCGGTTGGGAGGCCGGAAAGGGCAGAAGATGTGCGAGGATGTGACAAGATGTAAAGGTGTGGCGGGAGATGTGTGCTAGTAGGAGAAGGTGGCAAGGTGGACAGATATCAAAGCCAGGAGTGAGCCATATGTCAAGAGTAAGTAGGATAGTAGTGTCGAGGGGGGAGGGAAGAGAAAAGGGAGGTCGGATGGTGTATATAATGGTATGTAGTCACATAGGTGGTCATGATGGGTCGAGGCACAGGGCGGGGGGGAAAGGGTGATGTGGGTGTCAAAGTGGGCGGGTACGTGCCTAGTCTACCTGGTTTGCTGGTAACCTAAAGGAGCAGTATAGGAGTAAGGTAAGGTAGAGGCAAAGACAAGCAATCAAGCGTGGTAAAAGACGATAGACGAAAGGAACGAACGACAGCAAAGGGGGCGAGCTGCAGGCCGTACTCCGTAGCCAGGCCCGAGATGAGACGAGACTCGGGGGATTGGGATAGCGTCACACGCCAGAGAGGATCGGCTGACCGCTGGTGTTTTGCGGGGGGGCTATTGCTGGCGCTGGTGAGTTGGGCCCGGTCCAGTCGCGTGCGTCGTCCACTGGGGAAGCAGGAGACAAGTTCCATTGGAACGGGATGCGGGAGAAGGGGGGGCATCTTTCGCCTCACTGGGAGGTGCCAGCTTGCCAGCTTGCCAGTGTCTCCGTTTGGGCCACTAGGAAAGAGAAGTCAGGAGCACGCGAGACTGGAAGAGTGGACAGTTGAGATGAGGTATCACGGTATGTACCAAAGTAGCCAATGGGGCACGAACTGTCCGAGTAAGGCAACGTGGAGAAATGCGCAGCGCATGAGGAGAAAGAAAGGTTACAAGCATGGGAATGGCGGTTTGGCGGCGGTTCATGACCAACAATCGAAAAGGGCGAACCAACATTGCCCTTGTTGCAGGAAATGACAATCAAAGAGTGGAAGAGTGCAGTGGAACCCTGCCCTGGGCTGAACAGAACAGGGTACCATCGCTGCACTTCTATGTTTGTTACCGGTAGTCAGCCGTTGAACCGTTGAACTTGAACGGGCCTGCCACACGTCGCGGGAATTATCCATCGTCTTGGTATTATACGGGTACTAAGTAATACGATAGAATACCCTCTCTCCCTCCCTTACCTTCCCAGGTAGACATGGAATGTCGGGTTACTTTTCTTAGTACACACACACTGCGAGATACACTGCGGGCAGAGTTTCCGCAAGGTACCGCAGCTGAGGGCTGTGAGGCATGGGAAAATGGTGCTAAGTAAGAGAAGGGGACCTTGTCTTGTGTTGAAGAATCACCCGGTCCGGATTGCGAAGCAGACTGCACCGGTTCCCAGTGCCTCCTAGGCGAGGTCGGGAGGGGAGACTGCAGCGCAACTCGGCGGGAAAGAGCGCTGCCGGCGGTGCTAGTCCCCCAAAGATCCAAGGAAGCGTTGTACGTGTTGTGGAACCTCACATAACCAGCCAATGACGGGCCTTGTTCTTCTCGCTTCACAGCTTGGGGCGATATGCAGGGTCCAGCCCGCTGCTCCTCCCCAGTGACGTCAGATGAGGTAAACCTGCAGCTGCGACTCCAGCAACCCGCATCGTTGCCCACGTATTCCACCTCTTGCTAACGAATCCCCGTTCTCACTTTACCTACTCTCCGGATCCCTTTCTCACATCCTATCCGATCCCATCCCATTCCATCTGTCCCTATTACTTACCCTGCCAGAATGCCCTGTCGTGTCCCACTGCGTCTGTCTGTAGAACCATCATCACCAACAGCACCGCAGCCGGCAGTGCTGCATCCCCCGAGCTGATTCGCAATGCACGTTGCATGAGGTGCATCATACCCTCACGACATGGCCTACGCAGTGCTGCTTCTACCGCACTATGACATTGCCATGCCGCTGGCCAACTCCCCGCTGTCCGTAATCATCCGGAACGCCTTGAACCAAGCCGAATGCCATTCCTCTCTCAGTTACACCGCCAATCCCAATTGGCCGGGATGCCCAACCCCCCAGCTTACTCCGGCACTGAAACTCGTGTCACCTACACCTGCTTGATCGATGATGTACAGTACGCATATTTCCCGCATCATCAGGCAAGAGTGGCTCTTTGATACGCACTGCCAGAGGCGAACTCTTGGGCTACTCTCATGTTGATTCCAGAAGTGTCTTCAGAAACCAGCAGCAGCCGACTCGCAACTATACTGCTACCAAGGCCAACCTAGCCAAAGACATCCGAACATGCTGATGGGACCACAGAGTAGCCATCCGTGCTGCCCGGCGGATCCTCCCCCTGAACCAGCTTGATTGCCTTAGGTTCCGGGCGGTATCCGGGACCAGGACAGTCCCAGCGGCCGTTGCTACCAAACACCCTGCCGGCTGACGTCGGGTTTGCACGGATATCGTCGTTACGGTGCTACTGCTCGCCTCGCCATCTTTCCCGACACTCTACTTGCACCTGAGCCATTGAGAAATACTTTTCTGCAATTAATTAACGCGTAGAGCAGACGGATCGGCGTGAAGCAGACTGCAAATTGAGGACATGATCCTTCCCATGACACGGCATCCCCAGAGATCGTCGAGGAGCCGCTGCAGGGCGTCAAATTCTCCGGGTCGTAGGCACTCTCGCCATCACATCGTCGGAATAAGGTAGGTATCGTCGCATCGACTCACGACAGGGCGGGTAAAGGTTGAGTGGTTCCCTTCGTTGCCCTCGCGCTAGCGCTGCAGTACATGACTTGATCGCCGTAGCTCATACGCTCGCAAACCAAAAGTGGGCGCCTGTACCCTTCAGCGGTGAGGTCCAGTCCACGAAAGGAGAAAGGAGTCTGCGGTGCGTGATAAGCTCCCTGTCCTTGTTGCTGTCTCCGTGTCTGCGCGGGATTGGGTTTCCCCCTAGGCACCGAGGGATCGGTGACGTCGTGATGCGAATTGAATGTGACCCATCGAGCGTACGGCATCAATATCGCTCGCTCCCTGGGAGCTGATGGGCTTGACCGCCTCTGATGACCATCTGTGGAATATGAGAGCTCTGTGAGAGGACCAGATTCTGTTCGTGTCATGTAAAAGGAGGGCCAAAGACTGACGAGTCGCGACCTCGGTCACCCTGGTTGCTCAGGATCACGATGACCTCGCTGGTTGTCGATGAGAGTCAGTGACAAGATTGAGTTCTGTTGTTTCCCCGCACCGGTCCTGGTGCCATTACCGGGGATTGCGGAGGTCGGATGCCGTCCGACGAGAGGGTGGGTGCGATGCTGCCTCGTGTCAATCGCAAACATCGATGCTTTAATTATCCAACCAGGAGGAAGCAATTGGCACATTGCTGGCGTTCCTGACGACGGCTCGCATGGGTCTGCCGGCTACGGCTCGACGCGGCGAAATTTCAAGCGGTCGGGGTCACGAGCACTTGATTCTCTAACAAGTGGGCGGGCAACTCGATGGGTTGCCTCAACGAACGGCACTAGGCACAAGCCTGGATGACAAGATGGTTTCCTCCAAATTATCACCCAGTGAGGGCTTGGAAGTCACTTGGCTTGTTTGCCGTGATTCATCATCAGTGCCGAACCAATCGATAGATGACTCGATGAGGCGCGCCCATCCGGCGAGTCGCGAAGATGCCCCGTCCTCGGTACGGCCCCGCCCGGGCTGGAGGAGGCTGAAGGGGCAGTGAGGAATTCGGCTTCTCCCGTGATCGGTAGCTTGTATTCGTCCGGTAGTGCGGATACCGTTGTGTCGTCGTTCCGGGATTGCATTGGGAACCCCGCTACCGTAATTGCCGCCGTCGTCCCGGAGCCATGGAACCACTGAGTCGCCACAGCTTATTGTGTGGATTACAGCCGTCGGACGAAGTGGATGGTGGTGGTGCGACTTGCCGGTGGTGGTGGTGGTGATGGTGAGAAGACGGGTGTGTTAGGCTACTAGCAACCCATGAATAACCGATATGTGTCAGAGAGACAAGGTACAACCCGAATTTGAGAGGTCCTGTCCGCCCGGATCCGAGATGGTGGTTCCCAATATCATACCAGCATTCGCAGCGACTTCGTGCTTTGTCCATTCTCAATTGCCCCTGCGGTCACGACCATCAAATGGGGCCAAAGCGAGCTGCTCGATATTGGTTTTTGAAATGTATCAGTGGGTCGTACAAGTAGATGAAATGGAAATTAGACATCGAGAAGAATAAACCCACTCCATGTGCAAGTCTGGCAGCCATTGCAGGAAGTTGCGTGGGCGCGTTGGTTTTCGTATCTTCAGCAATTTCCGTACATGAAGAAAATTGGGCCCGGCAGATAAGGAGAAGCAGCGAGGCCCGTTTGGGACATGGGTCGTGTGCTTCTTGCGGCCTCGCCCAGCTTTCCGGTTGCGACATGCTCCAGGTCCATACCTTCCAACACGTCTGTTTTTTTCGACAGGCCCATCTACCTGGCTTGTCACAGTATGCTGATGCGGAACTGTGGATCGCAGCTATCGCCCGACCAACATGCGAGTATGAGAAGCGACGCATAGCAGAGAGCTGATGTGTTTCTCAACAACGATTCTCCTCGGTGTGTTTGAGGGCCGTACTGTGAATGCAATCTGCGGATTAAGCTGCTCTCGGACTATGCTTCGAGATACTATCTCCCACCTGAATGAGCTGGGATGAACTCCCCATTCCGGCTTGTGACCACAAGCTAGAGACGGCACCGCATCTGTGCTCAGCTAAGATCCCCAGATCAGACGAACGACAGACCCGCGAGAGTTCGACTATTGCCGTGATAGAGGGACTCGTACGACGCGGCGCAGGTAGTTTGGTGAACGCGATGGTTATGATCATATGTCCTGAAGGTAGCCTCTGTCGAGCAGGAGCTGTGACATGTTGTTGTTGGCTTTGCTGGGTTGAAGGCTACCGCCATGGCTTTCAAAGCCTCATACCCGGCAGCCAGCCACATACAGACAAAGACAAGCTGGCAACCAATCAGACCCTATTGCTAGTCTTTTATAGAAAAAAGAAAGCACCGATGAAGCAAGGCAGGTTGGAATTGAGTTCAACCACGCGAAAGCAGCCTGCACTGACGATGAAGAAACGCGAGCCACAAATCCCATGAGGTCTGTCCTCTTTGAGACCTTGAAGCCACTGTCTTTGGCAGTTTTGCGGGGATGCCGGCCAGGCGGTTCTCGTCAAGTCTGTCAGATGGCGGTGGTGCGCTAGTGCCGTTGTTGCCCCTGTCTGGAAGTCGTGGGGGTGGGCCAAGTCGGATTGGGGGAGGCAATGTCAACGGGAGTCGTAATCAGTGGAAAGCTCGGGGCCTGGGGGAGTCGGGGGATTCCTATCGCCCAGACGAATAGGAGGCACCAGATTGGCTGTCTGCTGAAGCCAACTGAACGTATCTGACCGATGGATGGAGCAGACCGGTGACCGTGGAAGTGTACTTCGCACTTTGTACGAACTAGAGTTTGTTAAGTCGACGGTGCGAAAGGCCCAGGCTTGATCAACCTCGTGGTGGTGGGCAGTTGCGCCGCTGTCCGAGCTGGGCGGCGGCCGGTTGCGCAGTTGACTCTCATGAAGAGTTTCGCGGCTGATCGAGGATCAACCGACGGCTCGAAGCTGAACTTGCGCGAGGCAGCTTGGTTCAGCATGAGGCTAAGGAATGGGAGCGCCAAAAAGCGAGACATTCGAGACAATGTGGTGGACGCGGGTTAGTTGGCTTGGCAGATTTCGATCGTGACATGGGTATCTCGTTGACCATCATTGAAGTTGAGCAAAGAATTGGGTAGAAGCTCTGAAGTCGCGTACGTGACCATCGTCACTGGACAGACTGTTCAAGAAACCTTGCGACCGAGGCAACGGAAACACGAGGACCTGCCGCCTGCGCGCCTACGAACGCGATGAAGTCTGGAGATGGTAACTAGCTTCTGGAAGAGTGGCTGATAAGGTTGACAGAACTTAGAAGGCAGTTGACAAAGGCCAGAACCCCCGACCAAGGAGGGTCAGGATGCTTATCGCAGATGGCAGATGCGGCCCCGCTCGGCCACGGCCGCTCGCACCGAGAAGGGCCTAGCTTCGGAGGTGGATCACCTCCACGGCCAATGGCTTCGG